ATAGGAATAAGATAAATAGGAGAGAGTCTTGCGCAGTACTCGAATTTATGCCCTAGAGTGGCACTGTTATCGGTTAAATTTTATTGGTTGCCGTTTGAACAAGTTTGGGGAAAACTTTTATTTATGCGTTTGATCGCGAATGACGTGCACTCTAACGAGAACTAGACAAATCGGTGATTTGTCCATTTTGCGTATTCGCCACAAGTTAGACCTATCTTTGTGAATTTCTCATCCTACTTAAAAATTAAAAATATTCATTCTAATTATAACAAAACAAATTATGATAAAATTAATTTTTATTAACCATTTTTTAAGTTTTGAAATAATTATAATATTAAGGTCTGCAAGCGATCATAAAATACAGAAAGAAATAAATGTTTATTAAATTATTAAATCATTAAATTATTTTCACACAAATTTTTTCTCAACGGAGTAAAAAATGTTAAATTTACTCCTATTCAAATAAATACCGATCTTCCGAAATTCCATTGACTTGGTTAAATATGTTTTTATAAAATAAAGCTACTTTGCTGTATTTTTTTTCATTATCATATTGACCCCCCCATGCCAAATTTACACGTTTTGTTTTATTCAGGGTATCACAAAAGTATTTCTATTATTTTGTTCCCCACTAAACTTACCCCGAAATTAATTTTTAAATGATACGCAAAGAAAATGTGATTTTTAATGAAAAGTTATTCTTATACCTTGATCAGCATGTCTGACTGGGGTAATTGATATAACAACTGCTTCAATTCTATTTTCAAGTCTTACATATTAACTAGTAGCAAAGGCACGAACACGATCCATTTTAAGATTTTAAAGATAAAAATCGTATAACGTAAGATTGGTGAATGTGGAGGCTACGATAAAAAAAGGCGTGTCATCCGGCCCATTGCGGCATATTTAATGGTTGGGAACAACTTCCCAATGGCGTACAATGTTATACCAATGAGAAGGCCATCTTGATGTCTTGTCTCTCTGGTTCATTTTGCAGTTAAGGAAAGAGGTATAATTGTAATATATGAAAATTACTAATCTAAATTTTATTAAAATAAAATGTTGATTCATAACAAATCAAAACAACAAAAACCCTGATATTTTTTTTTTGAAACACCGATATTTTTAGTAAATCCTACGTTATGTTTATAATTTTGTATATTTTCATTGATATAATAATAGGATTATCATCATGATCCATTATTTTTCTGTGCTATTTCATTTCAAATTAGATTCTATTTTCATTTCCGACTGAGTTGTATGACGTATACTGAATTAAATATTTAATCTTATTTTTTATTTGGATTTCCTAGCTAAAAATAATCATATAGAAATCTTGTTTTTGTTTTACCTGAACAGATCCTTCATCATGCAGTACTGTGCAAATGTGGACTTTCCTTCGACGTATATTTAGAATCAACCATTACGTAATCTTAAAACCAGTAGGAAAAAATCGAGCTTGTCTAAATATATTTGTATGTTTGTTTATAATTTTTTGAATAATTATTCAATTGCCGTTAGGATATTTGTTTAGTTGAAACTTTTTTTAACGATTCTCTTTCGCATGATAAAATATGAACTCTTATTTATTATTTCGAAATTTATTTTTACATTATAAATTTTATATTTTTCAAACAAATTTGAGAGAATATTGAAATTATAAAAATATAGGGGAATAATTTTTCTCACAACAAAGGATTTTTCCAATTACAATAATGTTTTTCAATATACAGACGATCTTTTAAAGTTATGGATTTTTCCTGTTTCCAAAAGTCTCTGAAGAAATATACAATCAATAATAATTAGAAAGTCATATTATAGTGATGAAGAAAGTTTGTATTTTTAATTTAAAGTAAATAAATAAAACACCAATGCTTCAGCAATATATGAAAACTTCGGAATAATAATGTAGTAGTAAATATTGTAGATATTACAAAGCTTTAGATAAAGTTTCCAACCAAATATCTGGCGTTTTAGGTATTTAAGTTCAGCCACATTTCGAAAAGCTTTAGATATAATTACATACTTAATCATACGTAATGATCATGAAGCAGGTATTATTACAAGCATTATAAGATTGAACTATTTGAGCACGGTCACCTGAAATATTTATAAAACAAATAATTTTTCTCATATATAAAAAATTATCTTTTCTTTTTTATCATCATTTTACTAACTATCATTTACTCCTCCATATGCTTGGAAACCATAATAAGCAGCTAAAGGCATATTTGGAAAAAACTTGGTAAATATTTTTACTTCCATATCAAACAGAGCAGGAAAAATATTAGCTGCAAACATGAAACCCATTGAGTGTTTTTTCAATGTTAATTTCTCTTGTAAAAGCTTAAGTTTTTTTTCGATCTTTGGCCAAGTAATATAAGTATTATTCACATATACAGAGTAGGTTTGTACCATTCCACTAATAATAATAATAACCATTTCTGGATATTCTATACATGTTGGTAATTCACGAACATGATCGCAAACCGTAATATTATTTACTTGCCCACCCCATATAGTAATATTTGTTTCTGGAAACCTGCATAAAAAAACCAATTGAAAATATTTACATCTTACATATACAAGAGAGCAAACTATTGATAATAATTTTATTTAAATATTTAATATATTACCAGTCTTTTAAAGCCATTTCTAGGCAAAAAACCCTATGGTCAGTATTACGACGGCTAAATAAAATGAAACAACTTGTCAAAGGGGAATTTTCAGTAAAAATTGGTTTCATTACTTCACATAATCGATCGGCGTTCAAAAAATTATCATTAAAAAAACATCTTTCCTCATGACAATATAATTCAGGCAGAGAAGGAATATTATAAATAGTAAATGTATTGATATTTATGAATGGTGCTTCAGGAAAAAAACAGCCTAAAATAGGACTAAAGCTTCTTATAGGAGTTTGGTTTAATGTAACTGAATAAGCATTAAATGGTAGACATTTGCAGTGACATCCTTGAAAAGATCAAAATAATTTAGATACAAATATTCTTTATATCAATATGTATTTAATATTAAACATACCTTCAGAAGTGATTTTTTCGAATATATTGGGATTAAAAAATATACTTAAAGCAGGTCTAGTAGGGCAACATGCTGACATTTCTCTTTGTATAGTATTCAAATTATCAGGGTCAATGCATTCTTCTTTATATCTTGCAATACACGCAGGACCTCTTGATGATTCCTCACTTATTGCTAGTTTCTTCCAAACACTATAATTATGAACAAATATTTCTAAATATAGACAATTTTCATGATGTTACAATATTTGTCATAGTACCACTCTTATACAATATAAAAAGGGACTGTTAATTATAAATGCATGTACATTGAATGCTTGTTGTATCAGTACCTATTAACTCTACTAGCAATATATAGGTCGTATCCATTTAAATATTTAAAAATATGTGGCAAAACGTTCTTGTATAAATCCTCTTCCATGTTTCTAATAATATTTAACGTAAAAGATTATAATACTTTGAATCGATTTATTTGCATTGCACACATTAAACAATATTTGAATGGTCCCAAAACTATTGAAATATAATCTATAAAAACAGTTTTCGTTAGAATCATCTCAATTATATGCATACTTTTTATTTTAAATATTTATACTTACGCAAATAATATGCTTTATAACTTTCGTAAAATCACGTAAAGCGATCTTTACAAAGGGTTAATTTGAAAAATACTAATTAAAAGAATCGTATTGACCTAATTTCTTGTAACAACGAAGAGCGGAATACAAAAATATCTCTTAGAATACGGTCTTTATTCTATTTAATTGCAAAAAATCACTTTCCTATGTAAAAGAAGACTCTGTAAAAAAAAAAAAAAATACTTTATTTTTAAAAGTTATATTTTTTATTATTTTCTTTCCATGTTACAAGTAATTGCAATAACATTTACGTGATAAAATAGTAGGTCTGTATTTCATTTAAAAACGTCCTATAAAAAATGAAATTTATATTACAAATTATATAAGTATTATATAAATAAAAAATCTTCTCCTCGTTGTTTAATACAATTTTCTGATAACATAATTTTTATGATAACAAATAAATCAGAAGAAAGCCACTTTAATTTAGTCCATCACGATTTTCGACGATCGCGAAATCTATAGGGTTATACATTTTTACACTTCCTACGGACATTTCATAGTGAATTGTCGATAAACACAAAATTTTTTAAGTTAAAATCATTGCTTTATCACTTTATCCTACCTTGTTTCGATGTTTTTTTTATTTTATTTACTGTGTATCAGATTTGTAGCTGTGATCCTTGTAATGAATAAAAAAAACATAGGATTTTAATTACGTCAAGAAGAACGGCTGACTATTGCAACTTATTAAACTTCTAAGGATAATTCTTTCCTTTAACCAGTGTACGAAATTACTCATGTACGGTATTCCAACTGTCAGTTTTAGAGAAATTATAGTCCTTAACTGATTTTCTTAGCGATCTTTTATTTATAAAATCTCACGATATACTGTGACCTCGACAGGAACAAACATAACAACATTAAGTTATATTCTATTCGTATCGTAAACTATTTCCGGTACATATATATGAATCGTTATATATATTTGAAAATAAGTTCACTTTTCTTCATTTCGGGATATTTAAGGTCTTAAATTTCACGATATATAAAAAAGTTGGTAACATGTAATAAATTTATTATACTTTTCCGGGATTTTGTACATTTCAAATTTATACTTAGTACTAAAAATTTTGAATTTAGTCAAACGGAAACAGTGTGCTTGTAACTGGAAATTGATTTACGTCACTTTTAAATATAATGGAACTTGAAAAACAAAAACATAGGAACAACAACATAATCATATCGTTGTATTTATCAATTCTAATCGGGCTTGAATATATATTCAGCGGTAATAACGGTATTTTTTTCAAAATTTTTCTGCCTTACTCGCTTTCCACTTAAATCCAATACTTTATAAATTGTCCATTTTCTTTCATTGATGTTTTGTAAAACATCTTATAAATATTCAGAATAAATCAATTTGAAAATTATTCATATATAATAAAACTCGATAGCGACCTTAAACGCTATTTGATAAACAGATAAATATATTTAGACAATTTCGAAAACTAAGAAGACAGAAACGATTGGCTCAAACAGACGAACATTACACAATAAGTTTAAGATCTACGACGATTGTTTCGATAGTTTTTTTATTAATCGCTGATTAAGTTAAGTAGGATCACATAAACTTTAGAAATGCATCTATTGCAATTAAGCAACAGATCAAACAACAACTACATGAGACTATTACCAACAACAGTTAACCATTTTATACTATGAATTAGAACGAAAAGGTTCGTTTAATAATCACCATTTAAGCCTTGGGATGGGAAGTTCTTATGCAACTTACTCTTTGGATCTGGTCCCATCAAACTACCATCTTTTCAAGGCCTTACAACTTACAACACTATTTATTGAAAGAATGAAAGTTTCTTATAGTGAAAAAATATTTTATTGAATTATATATATTGTCTATTTTCTGGTCCAATACCTTTCGCCATTTTTCTGGCAGTAGCATGATTCCACGCTCATAAGATTTTTGTTTTTTGCTGGCAAAAAACTGATCCAGGTAATTTCTGACCTCCTCATTTGAACTAAAACTTTTACCGTCTAAAAAATTTTATAAAGACCGGAACAAATAATAATCAGAAGGTGTCAGATCTGGAGAAAAGAAGCTACCTTTAAAATGGCAACAAATTATAGAACAAAACGATGCATATTTGACCAAAATCGGACAATTCGAAACATGGTAAATAAAATCTTGAAGTTCACGTAAAAATAATGAATTTCTTTTTACTATCGCCAGTCCTCTTTTATCATATCACTAGCTTTTTCGCCGAACATGATAACAGGTGCATTAATATTTCCATTCGTAATGGCAGGCATTATGGATGCATCAACAACTCTTAAACCTTTCACACCATACACTCTTAATCTTGGATCCACGACAGCTTTTGGGTCGTGTTTTGGTCCCATTTTGCATGTTCCCGCTGGATGATATATTGTAAAAGTGTAGTGTCTTAAGGCGCACTCCCAGTATTCGTACGTAGCAAAAATAAATTGTTCACAACCAGGCAATTTCACAGAATGCAGTTTTGAATTAAATTTTTGAAATGCACTTGTATTTGAAAGAGCTATAGCAATTTGTATACCATCTATCAAGACGTCTAAATCTTCTTTATGAGCAAAATAATTCGGATTAATGTCAGGATGAATCAGAGGATCTCTACTCTTTAGACGAATCCATCCGGAACTTTTTGGTTTCAATAAAAGTGGCAATATCGTCCAATTTTCAATATTCTCTAATTGTTTATATACGGTATTATAAACAATATCTTTAATCCCCACAACTTTATTTAAATATTTATTAAAGCTATTCAGTCCCGTTGGGAAAAAAATAAATTGAAGGTCTGGATAAACATCGAATGAATCAGCGTATTTAGAATTAATGAAAGCTAATGCTTCGGTTCCAGTAGTAGTCCAAACCCCGTTTTCCTTTGTTAAATAATTTAAGAATGATGGTAATGATAATACGTTTGACTGTTTTATGGTAACAGATTTGTTCACCGTAAAATATAATCCACCGAGACCAACATGGTCCTGAAGATTGTCACCAACTCGCAGATCAGATATTACCGGTATACCGAATTCCTCGAGATGTTCTCTCGGTCCTATTCCTGACAGCATCAGTAATTGGGGTGAATTAATTGCTCCAGCCGATAAAATGATCTCTTTTTTTACCTTGACTATTTGTTTTAATCCATCTCGAAGAAATTCTATCCCCGTAACTCGTTTTTCGTTATTGAAAAGCACTTTCAATACTTGAGCATTTAAAGCTATATGCAAATTCGGTCTGTTCTTCACCGGTCTTAAGAAAGCTTTAGCTGACGAGCAACGACTTCCACGGCGAATCGTACTCTGCGTTAACATGAAGCCAGTTTGATTTTCACCATTAATGTCACGATTTTCATAACCTAATTCTTGTCCAGCTTTTATAAAGGTAATAGCAATTTCCGATTTCCACGGAAATTCCTGTACAGTTAAATAGCCTTTCGTTTTATGGTAAGGTGACTTCTGTAAATAAGGATTTCTGTTATCCTCTGACTTGAGAAAATAAGGAAGTACTTCCTCGTAACTCCAGCCGATGTTACCCATTTTTGCCCAGTTGTCGTAATCTAATCTAGAATAAAATTAATTAGTATTGTTAATAATAATAATTATGTAATAATACGAGAGATTTTTAAAACGATTTTCCTCGTTTCTTACACTCGATGCAGCATACATACGAGTATATGTAGGATACGAATGTAAAAAGATCCAATAGGTATCATTTCCTAAGCAAGGAAACGAAAAATTAAGAGCAATAGCTCAAAATATGACTTTCAGAAGAATAAATTTCATTTACTATGCATATTACTTTCGTTATATATATGTAATCTTCGGGAAGTAAAACAAACAACAATCAATAAAACAATTTTAACTAGCTTTTATAGAAAACAATGTCTAACGGTGGATTTCGAAGAGAACGGTATTCGAATTTGTATTCCGTGCTTTTAGACTACAATATGCATTTCCTTCAACTAATTAACAATCATTTAAGGTATGTTTAATACTATAATATATTTTATTAATATTTAGAATTGTTTTAAACTAATATTAAATTTGTTTTAACGTTTTTACTCAGCGATGATTTCGAGTTGAAAATTTCCATTGAATAAAATTTCAGATCGAAATTGTTTAATATTCGAAGTATATGTAATTTTTTTAAATAAATGTACTTTATATTATTCTTACTTTAATAGGTATTAAACTGATATTCTGAAACTAAAGAATATTTAAATAAAAGTAAAGACAAAAAATGACCAATCGTTAGACATGGTATCCCTCTGTTTTTTTTACAGCTTTAACAACATACACGATTCTAAGATACGGGCGTTTTCTGTACATTATATATTCATTTAATTCATTTTTTATAGAAAAAGATTTCAAGTTAAACCTATTAAATGTGTAAATTAGATATATTAATGTATTTATTTGTTCATTACCTTCATCCTCTAAACACACTATATTAATAGTTTTCAAGCAAAAACTTACCATTAGTAAGCGTAACGATTAACGATTTTAAATATCATTTACTGTATATATGAATAGATTGATTATTTTTGCTCGCAATAAAACCAGTTTCACATTTATCATACATGAACGTTACGAACATTCTTTTTTCAACTTTGTACGTATGCGCGGAATTTTCCTAGCAACTATGTACATTCCTATTTTGTGCAAAAGAACAAACACTAGAGCGTTACAGTACGCGTGCACGCAATTAGTGGAAACTGATGACTGCAAATAGATTAAATATTAATATAATGATATACTAAATAAATAAATAATATTATATTATAGATTGTGTAATGTTATCAACAATGCATAACTTGAAGTTTGCTGTTACAAGAAAACTAATTTACAAAACTAAAGAAAACATTGTAAGGCCAACAATTGAATTGAGGCCAAGTCATCGAACTAAATAAATATAATAAATTCTTTCTAAACTTTTCTGTCAGTTTGTTTTCGGTATTTTTTATATCATTTGGAAATATTTCTATCATTATACAAAATGAACAAAATGGTAATGATATAAGCCAAGTTTCCAATTTTTCGAAGAATATAAATGAGTTAATAAATCTAATCCTACGTATTTAATTATATATTTAACAGAGTTATATGATAAAATAGAGCGTGATAAGTTAAAATTACCTATTTCCACGCACATATATCATGGTATTTAATACGCTGCTTCCACCTAGAACTTTTCCTCGTGGCCAATTACATTTGTTTTCTATCATCGCGAGACAATAAGCCGAAGAATTTGACGGAGTGGTTTTATATTTCCAATCTAATTCCGATAACTGACTGTAGGACGCGAAAATTGGAACATCTGTAATCTCGTTCTCATTACCACCGGCCTCTATCAACAATACGCTCCAATTGGATACCTCGGACAACCTCGAAGCAACTACTGCTCCAGCACTTCCACCACCCACAACGATAAAATCATACATTGTATTTAACTAAAAAATTCATTTTCAAAAATGATTTAATTTGTCTTTTATATTTGGTAAAAAATAATCATAATAATAATAATTTACCTTACGAATATTTCTTGGAAGGGATTCAGGATCCAACTTATCATATATGTTGAATAATCGTTCGATTCCTATAAATGGAACCAAGCCGATTCCCACGGCGAACATCATAGGAATTAAGGAATCCAATCCCATGGTAGTTTTTTGATTTATACTTCTTGATATTTTTAACAAAGCGTAGTTTGTTTATAGTTTGTATTTTCCACAAATTATTATTATTCCTTATTAATGCGTGCTTCATTCATTATTTAATTATCCACATATTGTATATTTCAAATTACAGAACTTTTTTTTCGAGAGAGTTTATTTACTGTCACGTAACGGATATACACCTCACATTCTTTTATTGATTATTTCAGAAACTATTAATTTGCCAGAAATTAGAAAATGTAAAACGAAAAAGGTAGTGTCAAAATGAATAACGAAGTATCTTGCCTGTTAGCTGCTTCTTTGACGACGTCGGATAAGCGAGTGAGTCTTGTTTTGTAATCAACGTGTTTTGTTAATAGAGCTGCTTTACATGGAAGAAAAACTCAGATAGTAATTATAAATCCTGAAATAAAAAGTATTGCAACACTTCTTTTTCGTTTAAATTATTAATTGTAATAACAACCACAAACTTTCACCACGTAATAAAAAAAAACCTTGAAAAAAGTGAGAGTGAGCGATAAGTAATAAAAATGGGATGGGTGTGATATGATCATAAAATAAATTAGTCTAAATTCTTCGAAACAAAAAAATTCAATATGAGGCATTTAGGCTAGTCAACAAAATTGAGAATAATTTATATAATTTATAGCAATTAATTATATCAATTAATTTTTTCTTGAGACACCAAATTAATTCATTATTTTTACTCTCGACCAAATAATTCTGTTAAAATGAATGACATATTGTTTTTCTTTTATTCAAGGTTCACTATTTTTGACAATAAATAAAAAAACGGCGTGCGATAAGCATCAAGATTCGATTTAAAAACCCCGCGTTTATATGCCGATATATATAAATATACAGAAGCTCTCGATGGTCAAAGACGAAAAAAACTTGCTACCGCATGAGAAAATAGAAAGAAAGAAAAACCAGTTTCGCCTCTCACTCGCATTCGTATTCACGACCGAGAGACCCAAGAATAGCAGAAAACCTTTCGTTTAATTAGTACACATTCCCAATATTTCTTGCTTATTTTTGCAAATACGAAGATGGACCTCACAACATTTTTTATGTATTTTTCAATTCTCTATAACTTTTGCTTGAAACTTTTTTTCGATTAAATGTCTAGATTCTGTAATAATCCGATTCTTAACCCTACTCAACACTTTTTCTCAAAAACGCTCCATCCGATTGCAAAAAATAAGCACCATTCGATTCAGCGTCTTCGAATTACCTTTACATCAAATTTGCGAATTTTCTAATAAATAATCTCAAAAATTTTCAAGTATTTCATGCGTTTTTGGTTTATGAAATATTAATACTGGTCAAATGTTTAAACGTTAGTAATATAACTTCAGTACAAGCTCGGAGGACGGTAAATGAAGGAACAAATACAAATCAACGTAAGACACTCATACAAGCAAAAAATCTTCTCATGTACAAGAGACAACATTACATAATTTTCTCAGTAAATGTCACTCGAAGGCCAACATATTACACATCGTTGGATTCAGTTTTTTATAAGCTATAAGACTGTGATAGTATAAATATGTAGTTCCATTTAAAAAAAAATATGATTACCTTGAAATCTCGAAAAAACTGACTTTGAGGAAAAAATTGTGCCCATTGCCGTATTGGCACCTTCGAATAGAATATTTTTTAACATATTTAAGATAGTTTAGTTAAGTGAAAGACCCTGTATATACTTGTAACCACAGAGATATATTTTGTCGGTCAAATATAAAATTAAATTATTTGTGTGTACCGTGTTTGCATGTACTATATAAATATTTACATAGAAATATATTCATATATCTGTAACGTAAACAGTTTATTATATGAAAAACAAAAAGTCTTACGTGAATAAGAATTTTTATTTTGAGGTGAAAGGATATTGTGCGGTCTTATAAGTAAAAGAAATTACAGAAGCTGTTGAAAATTGTAATTTCTATAGAAATTACTATTAATATATGTACTGTGCATTAATTTTTTCATGTGGTAGTCATAAGAGAATATTGCCTTTGAAGGTCTAATTAACTGTAACAGTTAAGTGCTACTTATTTAACGTTATTGAGAAAAATTTATTGTAATACAATTTTATCGGCATGTATTTTTGTAATTAATTTTTTTTTTTATATATATCATTTCTCGTAATTGTACAAATTTAAAAAAAAAATGCTTTGTGTCAGCATAAATATCAAGAATAATAATTATGTATTACTGATACTTACTTGCTTTATGAACTTTTTCGTAGATTATTATTGAAAACTCTGACGCAACCTTGACGCAACCTTGACGCAACCCTGACGCAACCCTGACGCAACCTTAATAAATGTAAAAAGAATATTACTCCATAAAAAATATTATATTCTTTTACGCGTTAAATATTATTAATTCAATGGAACGATATCTACAATACGATGTCTTGCGTATGATTTTTTCGTATTTAAATTGGAACAATCTAGATAATATTGCAAAGGTTTCGAGGTATAAATACAATGCATATTTATGCATATAATTATGCATATTTATTTTTTAACAGGATATATTATTAGTTAACAATGGATTTTGTATATAATTAGAGTGTTTGGACGATTAGTATATTTATATGATAAAAATGTTCTCACATTTTTAAATTCTTTTTTATAATTATAGATCATGGTTGAAAGTAGCAAACGATGAAAAAAATTCAAGAGGTCCAGACTATTTTATAAGAATCGTTAAAGAAACAAAAAGCTTAAGTAATTTCGAAATGATAAAGAAAGATTTAACAGAATATTGCCGAAAGAAACCATCTTTAAATATATTTTACTTTCTTAATTTAGTAGAATTAGAACGATCATCAAGTATGTTCAATTTTGTTTATATATTGATTTAAAGAATATTCTTATGGAAGGTTTTTTAAATTTTTTAAAGGTTGCCAGTGCGAGAATCTGTCATTGAATAGTTATATATTAGAAATGTCGCACTTTTGTAACATACAAAGTCAGAAAACCATTTTCAGCTTATTTTTTCCAGAAGAAACTAATATACAAATATCTATGGTTACTTTCAAACAGTTTATTCCTTTTGGTAAAATCTATTGCGAAGAAGCAAAAATATGGTTTGATAGTTCTCTTTTTAACACCGAAAGAATTAAATCTATATTCGAACCATTTTTTAATAATAATCGTCCTACAACGAGTTGTCTGATTATTTTCTGCGAATGTAATTGTACAATTGCAAAGTTTCTAGAGATGGCTTTGAAATCATGGTAATATGTTAAATATAAAAAATAGATTATTATTCCATATATGTAAATACTTTGGATTTATCTTTTTACACAGGTTTCCAAATAAAAACATTCCTGTGTGGGGTGGGAAAATACTTAATTTATCAGTATGCAATTATTTGAGTAATTCACGTAAATGTAAAGACAACCCTCATTGCGCAGCTGTTTTAATAAATGGTACGGAGATGGAAACATATTCTATATGTATAGATAGCAATATTGATACTCAACTAGATATCGAAAATAAACTCAAAATTTTAAAGGTAAACATAGAGTTAAAAAAACATTCAATTGGTTTTATGTTCTCTTCTAAAGTTATTTCTAAATTATATAACTTACAATTAAATACATTTAAACAACTTTTTCCGGAAATGACTTTAATAAATTATTTTGGTTCAGAAGCATACGGAGGAAATAAAGATGGTTAGTAAAAGATCTATGAAAGAAAAAACAATTCTTTTTTTATATATTGTCGAAGAAAAATTAATTGCTTATATGATTATTTCAGAATCCTATACAAAAATAACAAATAATTTCCATTTTTTACCAAAGACAACCTTTATGATAATAACATATAATTAAATTTGCAATAATAGGCAAAGCTTGTTGAAATGTATAATGAAACTTAAAGCACTGACTATTTCGTTGAAAACTTTACCTAACGTAGTTAAAATTTGTTACAACAATCATCTTTTGAAGTTTTCATATCTTGTCGAAATTAAATCGTTTTATCTACTTCAGTTCAACAATTAACACTTTTTTTGTCGCTAGAGATTTTAATTTACAACTACTTATTATATTTATATATATAATTATTCGAATAATAATACTTTTAAGACCAAAAACAAACATACAACTTTAAGAATGATCGCTATTTCTTTTATTATTGAAATCTTCCTAATAACTGAAAAAGGAATTATGTGCATATATTTTAATATATAAAAATAAAAATAAAAATTTTCTAATAATATAATTTAATACAATAATAATAATTTTCTAAAATAGTATGTATAATATAATAATAATAATTAATATTTAATATAATATAACAATAATTTCCCCCCTAATAAACCATAAGTTTCAATATTTAATTGTATGAAAAAAGACATCATATAATAGAAAATGGTAATGTGGTAAGAGCATGGTAAAAGTCGTAATAGAAGTTTCGGTACAAGCATCAAATTTCATTGTGTTGTGCGTGTTTAACCTTTAACAAGAAAGATATTGAACGTTGCAAAAGGAAATACACGCAGTACAGGACATTTTAATAATAAAAATTTAACCGTCGTACACAGGATAAGATATTTGAAAATCTAATGCGAAAATACGTTGTTAGAGCATTAATAATATAATACATTTAACGAGAGAGATCGTTTGTAAAAATTAACACAAATCTCTCATAAGGTATGTTGTATTTATATTTCATCGATGGATATAGAACGAAATATATTCGAGTCTGTTATGTATGCGAGTATATACATTGTTTGGTATCATAAATAGTTCAACATTCGTTCAGACCAATATTGAAGGAAATTTGAATTTATTATAAGTAAAATAACAGTTACGAAAGCAGTCACACACAGTATGTTGTTTGTATAGGACAAATCACATTTATATATTCTAAGTGAATTATTTCGTACAGTGATCTGAGAAAATAATTACCCTTACAGATTTTAATTAACTGAAACAGTCAGTCGCTGCACAAATCTTGTTGGACGTAATATATATTACATATTTTTTTTTAATAAATAAAAACGATCCGAACTATTTATTCGACTCGTAAAAAAGGAAATAGAAGGAATATTGTCGAAAAGGAATAGAATAAAATAAGTAAGTACTAACATTGACATTCAAGTGTTTTTATCCATGATTAACTATGAAATATATCTGTTTATCGTATATGTGTCTATCGTAAATACAAAGTACTGATATTTGATCCGTATTTATTCGAAAATCATTTTATTGCAGATTATAATCGAACTTACATCTGATTATTTTGGTTCCCTTTAATGTATAAAATATAAATAAATCGATTAAAGATACTATATTCTTCTACGCTACATATTCTTAGAATGATTTCGAAAGAATTGGACTTTGACTGCTTGCAAATAATTTTTAGTTTTTTAAATGAAGTAGATCTACAAAAAGCTGCTGTGGTTTGTCGGTATTTAACAAAAAAACATTTATAATAATAATGAAATGTGTTAATAATTAGCTGTACTTATTGTATGATATATAAGCGATCGTAGGATAAATGTATTAGCATGAAAAAAATTTAACATAAGTTTATTTCATTTTTTATAATTATAGTTCTTGGTATAAAGCAGCAATCTATGAACAAGCAACAAGAGGTCCTTTGTGTATTAAAAGAAAAAAAAGGGAAACGGTACCCCCTCTTAGGTGGAATTTTTTAAAACTAGATATGATAAAATATTGTCACATTCCAATTGTTTTTAATATATTTTTCATTACTACTGCAACTGAAGAAAAATCTTCCCAAAGTATGTTCAATTTAGCATACACATAGATTCATAGAATATTATTATTCAAAATATTTTGATTTATTCAAGGATGTCATTGCCAGTATCTGCCACTTAATTATTATTCATTAGTAATATATAAATATTCTGTGATAGAAGAAACAAATTCCATTGTAGGATTGTTTTTTCCTAAAACACAAGACATGAACATTTCTACGCTTACTCTTAGTAGAAATTCTTCGGTAGATGGAACATATTGTAATGAATTAAATTCTATGATCGATGATTCTTTCAATAATAACGAGCAACTGAGAAATATATTCGAACCATTTTACCATATCCAGCTTCCTAATAAAAGTTGTATGATTTGGTTAACCAATGTTAACGGATCGTCCTTAAAATATGAATTAGGAGAATGTTTAAGAAACTGGTAATATATTAAATATTAGTTATAATTTTATATTCATTAATAGCTAATTTTTTTTGTAAACTTTCAAATTTATCTTTTAACATAGGTTTCCGAACAAACAAATTCCTATATGGGGTGGAGAAGTACATAATATATCGATTTGTAATCATGATCGTAATGAACATGCAAATAAATACGATTCAAAAAGCGTTACCATTTTAATACGTGGGACAAAGATAAATATCTGGTCTTTCTATTTCGATAAAATGTATAGTACTTCAACAAGAATCAGTAATGAACTAAAGATGCAAAAGGAATTGATAAAGTTACGAAAAAAATCGATAGGTTTTATATTCACTTCTAAAACTCGTTTGCATTTGCATGCCTTCGAATCGAGTATATTTCAAGAACATTTCCCAAGGATGCCGATTATTAAATATTCAGGTTACGGAGTATATGGAGTCAATTTTAGAAGTTAGTAAGATGTCCAATCAAAGAAAAAAATAATATTTTATTTATACATATCAGAAAAATGATTTATCAATATAATTATTTCAGATACAAGGAATTTAGATAATACATGTAGATTGGAAGAAACGGTCTTCATGATAATATCATATGATTAAAAATTTGAGAATATTTCTAACTTATTGTAATGTATTCTAACAACATTTAACACTTCAAGCCGTTGCTATACTTTCAACTTTTTATAACGGCATTCACTCCCAAAGATTCCACGTAGCGTTCAAGCATTTGTGTTTTTCCTATTTTAGACCGTATTTTAAAACATTTTTAATGACTTGATTCAAATTCATTACTAATCAATAGGCTTTTACTTTTTATAAGACTTTTAATAGCACTAATATAAATTCAAGAATCGTTCATATAATCTTTATCATTGAAAACTTTGTCATCATTAGAAAAATCTTCATTACTCAGCCAAAATTTTCAGCCAATTTTCTTTTCGTTATTTTCTAATTGAATTGTTATTTTTTAAATTGTAAAAAAAATATTTAATAAAATAAAATAAGTCTTTGAATAACTCTGAATCTTTTAAAAAACTTTATTATTACGGAAAAGCTATTCTCGAAACAAAAAAAATAGTATATTAGAAAATGATTATATTCATAAACAATAAAACTTCCATAAAATTCCAATTATGGATTAAAACGTTAGAACTTTCATTTTTTAAATGAAACTTTGTTAATATTAAAATCAATTAAGAATGTGTCTGATACGTTGAACGATCTTTGACGATAATAATCTATCGAATCTGAATTATAACGGATAATTAAATTTTGAAAACGATTGAATATAATGTTATAGCAATTTATAGAAACAATCTAATAAATCAAATAAACATGGTGAAACGATACATAGGACAAAGAGACAAAAACTAAACAAATACAAATGAGTGTCAAATAGGACGGAGAATATTACCAAAGACGTTGCATAGAATGATTATTTTGTTCATTTTATCTGTATCTTCCTCAGACTAACTATTTAAATATTTACAACTAAAATGGAGGTATTGTTCACATTTTGCTCGAGATACCTATGGTTTCCTTCCAATTCAATATGGAATGAATTTAAGGTAAATTCGATGGTCAAATACCCAAATAATCAAAGTTTAATAATTATTTTTCCTTTGGCCATAATTTTATTCTTCATGCAACAAACTCTTAAAAGGTAAGGATTTAAATATTTCATAAAATTATTTGTATATCTATTTAAAATGCCAGAAGTTTTAAAAAATCGTGAATTCCTAAATTTGATAAATTAAAATTCTTAGCTGTTTCTCGCGTAGTTATACGACAATTGGTATTCGTCAGTTCTTTTATTTTGCCCGCATCATATACTTGAAATAGATAATCTAAGCGTGGTGCATCTTTCAAATCAAAATTACCAGAACAAAATTTCGAAAAGCAATTTGAGGCTGTCGTTTACTTACAATTAGTACAACCTCTCCGTAAATAATACATGATTTGTTTCTGGCTTACATTAATACCCTTACGATAATAAAAAAACAAAACATGACGAAAATGCTGACTTTAACTTTTCATTTCTGATGCGAATCGAATAAAAAACTACTGACAGACCAAAACAGAACAAGGTTCTCAATCACATCTGAAATATCTGTTGCTATAATATAAAATGATTTTAGGTTTAAAGTAGGGTTTAGTAGGGTTAGACTTTGCACCCTATATATTTTAAAACTAATATTTTTATATTAATATCGTACAGATACTACTTTCTACCTATAGGCGAATGGCTCGGTATACGGAAACCAATATTAGTACCGAAAAATACAATCTTAGAGAAAGCTTATATTGATAAAATAAAGAATCAGAGACAGGTAAATGTTGTTCATTAAAATTAGATTTGAACGCAATCTACATAGAATATTTTAATATTGATTAATTTTATTTTTAAGATATTAGACTTAGCTAGAAAACTGAAGTGGTCTGTAGTACAAGTACGCGTGTGGTTATATTATAGATCTTTTCAAGACGAACCATCTACGTTAGATAAATTCAGCCAAAGCAGGTAGATAAAAGTTATAAATATTGTAGATTTATTTTAAAATCATATTTAATATAATGTTTTATTTTTAGTTGGAGGTGTTTTTGCCTCACATGTTTATTTATCTATGGTCTTATTGTTCTCTGGGATAAACCATGGTTTGGGGATATAAAACTATGCTATATTGATTTATCACATCACATATTAACTAGTGATATTTGGTGGTTTTACATGTTAACTTTGGCATTTTCTTGGCTTTCGTTTTATGCTAATTTCTTTGAGAAAGACACAACAACATTTATACATTCTTTTATAAAACTTACAATTAATATTGCATTATTGCATATATCATGGGCCATAAATTTAGTGAGGATTGGTTCATTATACATATTAGTATTTTGTTGTAATGATCATCTCTTAAATGTAAGTATAATATACAATATTATTATATTTGAATATTTGTATTATTTTTCACTTCATTACTTTTTATATACTTTTTATATGCACCTGTCTTTCCATTTACGTAGAGTATCCATTCCATGTGAATTTTTTTTTACACAAATGAAAATTGTGTAAATAGATTCTGTCAGTACAGAAGAAAACAAAATATTTGAAAGAGAAACTGGTATGAAGTACCAGCATGATACATTAAAAATATATGTGGTACATTGTGGTCCTTTCAACGGAATCGTATGTTTTCTTATAGTCAATGAACAGTTAATACACCCTCTCGCCGAGTTCCCATTTTTTCTCTAACAGTTGTTCAACCGTGAATAGTTGGTCGCTCGTGAACCTATTTTGCCGAAATCCACAATTTCTGCATATGTTGTTAGTCTTTGTAATAGTAGGTTCAATAAAACCTTATAACATGATGAAAGTAGAGATATGCCTTTATAGTTTCCGCATATTGTCCTATCACCCTTTTAAAACACTGATGGTGAGACAATGATATACTGCTTCCGCTCATCCGGCAGGCCCTCTTTCTACCAGATGATGTGGATCAGTTTTTATAGTCCTTCAGGTAGCTTATAACCCACGTACTTAATTAACTCCGAAGCTATTAGGTTAATTCCCAGGGATTTGTTGTTCTTTTTTCTTTCTGACCGCAGCTAGCATTTCATTAAGTATAAGTTCTTCGATTAAAAATTCAGTTCAGCAATGTGAATTTTGTTTAAAAATCTTGTTCATTTGAGGGTCATGTGTATTCAGTAGACTGTCGATATAATTTTTCTATCTGTTTGTATAATATATTCATAATTTTGTACAAAGTTATAGTTTTCATTTGGTACAAGATATGCAATAATATATTACATTTATTTACAGCTAACGAAAATAGTAGAATATACAAGAAATAATAAAATAAAAACAATTCAAAAGTATTTATTCACGCTGGTATGGTTTTGCACTTCTAATATTATCTATAACATGTTTCCACTTTATAGGTAATTTAACATTTTTTATATTTTCTATATATTATTCTATAAAAATATAGTAATTAACTTATGAACTTTAACATTTTTATCTATTTTTAGTACTTTGCTGGAATCATTATTCCACCTAGGATGGTCTTTCAAAATGTTAATAATGAATTTGTTATTATTCGAAATTTATATCCCTCAAATACTCTGGAACTTTACTACGAGTAATTTAATACTTAACTATTTTTTGGTAAGAAACTAATTTATATATATATATATGGCATTCCACGTCAAATCGACCACTTTTGACCCCGACCCCTTTCGATTTAGCTGAAACTTATTTATCGTTTTCTACCCCATTGAAAACCTCTCTGAGAATTTTTTCAAATTTTTTTACCCAACTCAAGAAAAGTTATGAATTTTCCAAAAAATGGCTTTTTTCAAATAGCCGTAACTTTCGTAACTTTGTCAACAATTGTTATATAGTCCTTTAACAAAATTAGTCCAATAACAAAATTAAATTGCGAAAAAATAAAAAAGAAAATTATTAAATTAGGAAAAAGATAGAAAGAAACGTCAGCCCATCAGACGAAGTTCAGAATTAAGTTCAGAATTAAGTTCAGAATGAACCAAAGTTTAAAACGAAAAAATAAAAAATACCAAAATTTGAAAAAGTTAAGGTTTGACTTCAAATATTTTTTTATATTTTTTTCCAAAGAGTACATTTAAAAACAAAAAATTAATAAAAAACGTCCCAGTAAGTCAATTGTTGGCAAAGTTACAGCTATTTGAAAAAAAAAGCCATTTTTTGGAAAATTCTTAACTTTTTTTGAATTTGGTAGAAAAATTTGAAAAAATTTTCAGAGAGGTTTTCAATGGGGTAGAAAATGATAAAAAAGAGTTTCAGCTAAATCGAAAGGGATCGGAGTCAAAAGTGGTCGATTTAACGTGGAATGCCCCATTTGCATTGCTATATTTTTTATATTATGATTAATTAAGTTAAATACGCGAGTTAAATTTTTATTAATTTTACTCGTATGTTATAATCATTATATTTATTTAAAACATTGCATTTTCAAAAATAAAACTATGACAAATTTGCTTAATTTTATACATAATGAAAAATGTTACAGACGTAGAATCAAATAGAAAGTAATAACAGATTCTTCTTACAATTACAATAATGCAACTGCCAATAATACAACTAACAAACTCGAAAATCGAAAGTCAAGACAAAGAATATATTAATTATATAGAATGTTAAATATATTTTACCTTTCGTACGGACTAGAACGATTTTGCCGTGATCGTTGCCAGATTAAGAATTAGAATTCCGAAATCCGCAAAATAATTAAAAATAATAAAACTATTATTGCTTTTATTGTATAAAGTTAAGATTGTGCATAATTTTTCGTTCGACGCTTTTGCAACTTCAGCGAAAGACTCAGGCAACCGCCAAAGAACAAATAAATATAAAATAGGATATCGAAAGTATATATTACAATAATTGCTACTGAAGAACTACGAATAATTGTCAGCTTTTAACGTTAAAACTATGTGAAAACAAAAAATTTGTAATCGACTATTATCTTAAAATCTACAAATTCTTTTCTATATATACCAATGATTTTAAAAAATCAAAAAAGAATTTTTCTTTAAATTTAAAAATCCCATTATAAGCTCATAATATTTATTTTATCAAATCTCACACAGATATTGTTTTAATTATTTCATATATAGACATCATCTTTTTAAATGTTTTCTGTCAATGGTTTTCCACCCTTTGATATTTACGTGTCATAAAGATCGATTTATTGCTTACATATGAGTTAAAAGATATAAAGTCATAGTATTCATTCTAAATTGATAAACAATTAGTTCTTTTTATTTAAAAATTGTAAGCAGAATCTAAACATAATTGTAAAAAACAATTAATTATGTATTTATGTAATAATTACAATTGTTATGTAAATATTCTAATAATTACATTATTACAATAAAAATTAATTTTATTGAATAACCCAACGATAAACGAAGCGGTAGTTTATTTTTCCTAACTCGAATTGATTTAGAAGCGACTTATTTTCTAATATCAATTTTTAATTTTTAGCAGTTTTATCTTATTTTAGAATGTTATTATTTGTCAGGAAATAAATTCAGGTAACGATATGGTGTGTGTCAATGTATTGAAGTACATCAGCTTTAGGGAATAATAGATGTCATAAAAATTCACACCTATTATCCTTATTTTTCTTATCTCTTTTCTTACTCTTAGCACTCATCTATTTTTTCTGTTTTTAAATCAACAGAACTTGAAGCTTCTTTATTTTTTTCTTTCTCATTTATACCCGCACATAATGCTCACAATTACATAAAACTTTCGTTCAGGAGAAAGGACTAATCCTTAAAATAATGCAAATCTGTTTTGTTTTCTACCTTACCAATTGTTGATATAGACAGTTTTTATTCCATCATGTTAATATCATGTAATTATTGTATACAAAAATAATTGTTGATATTCAAAAATTAATAAATTGTTCATTATTATTGAAAAATGAGAAACATGAACATTTATAATCCTTAGCTTATAAATCGAACGGTACTTCCTAAAAAAACATTGTATATCTAGAAATTGTAGATACAAAATATTTAAAATATCAAACATTAATAACGTCAAATTTTTACAATGTCATTTAATATAAATTTCATTTTTAAATCCGTAGAGAGAAATAGAGAAACAATTAGAAAATGAAAGAGCTCTATCCAAATTTCCCGCCTATTATCTAAACTATAAACGTCACCATGAAACATATACTGGCTACTATTCACCTATTGCTTCTTCTTAAATTGTAACATATGCAATCATATTAATATACTTTTCACTTTATTACCGATTTATGTAATAAATAGCAAAATAGTATAAAAAACAAATTCGTATATTTTACTAAGTAAAAAAGAAACAAAAATTCTATTCCTACATGATTACTTTTTATTACGAAAACATAACCTATTGAAAATATTACTTTTGTACTAGAATTAGTGTTATTATCAAACAATAATGGGAAATGCTGGAAGTAATCAAACAGTGAGTCAAAGTCATAATTCGGATAGAGATCATCGTCATGGTAAAGAACACGCACCACCCTCTCCTGGGAAGGAAGGTCAAGCATTTGTTTTTGACAAAAAGCCTCATAATCTAGTTTTCCAGTCATCTCACGAAGAAGAAGAGCCTTATTATACAAAAGTACTTAACAATCATCAACATACATTTTTTACGACAATAGATATACATTTGCTTTTTTATACAGACAAGCCAACAGGATGGAAATAATTTTGGTGGCTCACGTCCAAGATCAAATACAGTTTCCGAAGGAACAAAGGTTGCAGATAGCAAAGTATTGCCTACAGTTTTTAAATGGGAAGGCGGTGGAAAGCAAGTATACATCAGTGGAACGTTCACTGGATGGAAAACATTGCCTATGGTAAAGAGTCATGGTGATTTTGTTACTATTATCGATCTACCAGAAGGAGAACATCAGTACAAATTTTATGTCGATGGAGAATGGAGGCATGATCCTGGTTTGGTGAGATATAGATCTACTGATTAATGTCAATTTACTTCTACTGTAAGAACAATGATTAACAGAATAATTAAATCATCTTTTTAGAAAATAGTTGACAACGGTATGGGCTCTAAAAACAACTTAGTATCTGTAAAACAATCAGACTTTGAAGTTTTCCAAGCTCTTGCTAAAGATAGCGAAGGTGTTTCTAATAGTATTCAAACCGAATATGGTCAAGAAATTCCGCCTCATAAACCATGGGAAAAAGTAGTTGGACCACCAATTCTACCACCGCATTTATTGCAAGTTATTCTTAATAAGGATACACCATTATCGGTAAACAATTATAAAAGAATTATTATTTATTAATTTATAAGAGACTCCATAGAAAATATATATTAATTTGTAAAATATTTTTTTTAGTGTGAGCCAACTCTTCTACCAGAACCAAATCACGTGATGTTAAATCATCTTTACGCTTTAAGTATTAAGGATAGCGTTATGGTTTTATCCGCCACGCATCGCTATCGAAAAAAATATGTCACTACTCTACTATATAAACCAATTTAATAATTTACGTCTGTCCTATGTGTAAATGTGATTCTTAGAGCTAGTTATCATGGAACGATACATAACAAATTGCCTTCATTATTCCTACATCAGAAATTGTAAGTAAGCCAAACTATCAATGACAAAAGTTGCTCTATTGTAACATAATACAATTATTATTTATTTAACTAAATCAAATATTTCATATATTTTTTAGAATTATAAAGAATTATAGTGTTATATATATATATTTTCTCTAATTAACAGATTAAACACCAAGCCTCTTTTATTAAACTTTCTGTTCAGACTACAATGATCTGTCAGTCCTAAAAAACCATAAAAATGTCGCCAATTGGTAACCAACATGGGCTGAATAAAAAGTCTAATTGCAAGACTGGTTTATAGGGATCAGCATGGCATTTAATGTGTTAAGCAAAAAAAAGAGACAAGCTTTAATTGCTTAGATAAAAGTTAATAGACAATAATAGATGTTTTTCTTAATCATTAGACACCATTATTAAAAAATTATAAGAATCGTTTTTACCTAATACATTAAAAATAAAATTTAAATATCATTACTAGTTATTTCTGGCATATATGCGTAAGGCGACTCAGATCTTGTTCTAAGAAAATAAGATCCACTGGCAGATTTATCTACGTGTTCTCCCATTAAAACTGCCTCAGAATCTATACAATCACCACTTACAAAACGATCCCAATTTTCACATTTTACAGCAGGAAGTCCAGTCTTCGAATTAATACTTTCTGTAAAGTATACATAAGATCGTCCGTGACTGCAAGCTTCTAAAATAGAAGAGATGTAAATGTGTTATTTTGAAAACTTTTAATGCTAACTTCGTGAGATATTTCTTACCCATGACTTCTGGGACGCAGCAACAACCTGGCTGAACCGCCGTTCCTGCATTTGGATAAAAGTCAACTTTACCTACAGGTTGCAGATATCCTAAAATACCACCACAAGAATGAATCACATCAACAAATGTTGCATCAGTTAAATCCAAACGAGTCTTATCAGAAGCAAACAGATGGAATCCGGGCAAAGCTGGGTCAAATCCAGTAATTCTTCCTAATTTACCAGAAGTTATTGCACTTCCAACATTACCGGCAACATGTGCACCCAAAGAATGTCCTAAGATATATTTGACAATATAGAGCAATGTACGTTAAATGATTTTTTCAAATATTTTTTCTTTCATCTTTTGATAAGCATATGATGATGCATACCAAGGAAATGAACATCTTCAGCTTTTAAATCAGTTTCTGAGACCAGAAAATCGATAAAATTAGCAGCATCCTTTCCTACACGAACGGTATTTTGCATAGGACCAAGATAAAAAGTACTTGCTGCTAAAGGTTCCCAGTCGACAAGAATTATATTATAATCGTCATGTTGCAAGTAAGCTGTGCAATCAAGATAGAACTTGTCCGATTATATAGAAAGATATAATTGTATGATCAAAAATATTCACTACCTTCCTTCATATCTATAAAACCGGAACTCATTGAACTGGATTTCCATCCATGTGTTATAAACTTTGTTTTTCGTGATGCTTTAAAATCTGAATTGAGAAGTCCTGCAGTATCATTGATCATAAGTTTTGTACCATTTTCTGGACCAAACCTTTAATTGTATTTCCCAATATATAGAGAAAATCCTAACGATATATTTTGTACAATAAATAAGTATTTGATAAACATACCGTGTGTAGAGAATATAAGAAATGTTTTTGTTATCGAGAATATTTCTCGCATTATCCTCGTATTTTAATATTGCTACTTGAGGTAAACCGTTTCCATCTGGCATAAATATCCAATCTTCTCCATATCCGTCATATCTTTCACGCAAACCACTTTCCCATTGTTTAGAAATTACTAAGTTGCAACACAGTACAAAGATAAATGCCTCTATCGGTAAGTTTAATAGAAACATTTTAGTTTATCGAAAACTTAACTTAATATCTTAGAAATTTAACTAATTATAAGAAAGAAACAATAAGGATACTTTAAGAATATTAAGACTTCTCTTGTAAATATTCTTATTTATATATATAAAGCAAGTATGCAAAAATTCTCTTTCTTCACCTAGTTTTCCTTGGCTTTATCTCTGACACTTTATCGTACAAGCGTAAATACTATTAAGTGGTTTATTAACATTTCTTTGAAGCATTTTAATCATGAACTAAGGAATACAAGTTTCAAACCGATTTACTTGTTCATGTATAATCAAGTCAACTAGTTTTTGGCGATTACTTATCAACTGATATCATTACAAAGTAAGAATAAAAACAAAGATTATTTTCTTGAAGACTTATCTCTTCACAATACTGAATAATGCAACATTAGATATACGTAAGATAAATATAATCATAAATTGCAAAAAAAATAATATGAACAGAATGATATCATTTTGTATCTGTATAGGATGGAAGGGTGCTAGTATTTTAAGCTCTTTTGTTCAACTATTTCAAACTATGTTGGAATCTAAACAATTAACGAATTTTAAGTTTATTTTATGAAATATTTAAATTCTTATTTTTCAAAAATTTATTTCATAATGAAGAGAAGTAAGCATGTTAGAAAAATAAATTGTGACGTCCCGCCACGCATACCTTCCTTAAATTTTTCGCAGTAGAATAAAACTTAATTACAAGAGACATTGCTCCAGTGATTTACATAAAAGGCAACCGAAACCATTTTAGTAATAAGTACCGAAACCAACCGAAACAATTGCAGCAGTAGTGCTAATAAAAGATTAACGTATCAAACACATTTTTATAAAGAGCGCATAATAATTATTCTTAGAACCGGACTGATTTCATTGATACACGTATTTTTTAGCGATATAGAAGCAACCACAGTGAATCACTGTAAAATTTCCTAAGAATTCGATAAAACCCATGTGGCTCCTACCCTTAACCCTTGTTCGTTAACACGCGTTAACCATGAAACACCGCATGCGGCCATGCAGCTGGGTGGATCGGAGAACATGAAATCTAACATAAGACAAAAGGATCGAAAGAATCAACGTTCTCCTATCGTCTCCAGGTCGATATCCGGAAAGAATTTCAAGGAATTCAGAATGAATTCTAAAATCAGCATTACAACTTGTTTCTTTATCATTTGCGTATGTAGAGAATAATATATCATTTTTTGCATCCAAACCGAATAACTATTTCCAGAGTCATTAAAATAATAAATCAATTTCGGAAAGTTAGGAAAGTTGTCAAGAAAAAGAGTAATTTTAGCAATTAACATTTACTTGTTTTACCTCTTTTATTCTTTTTTCCTATTAGAACGTACATTTTTATGGCGTTTTTGTAAAACTTATATGAACCTTTTTTACATATTTTTTCTTTTGATTTATTATAGGAAAAATTGGAAAGATCTTATCTAATTTGAATTTTGAAAGTAGTAGAACTTCCTATATCTAAACTCGCATTATGTAAATCAAGTTCCATTAGGATTTATCTCATTTGGGAGCGAGTTTTATTATTAGTGATGGAAAAATCGAGAAAATATTAATTTAAGTTTAACTTAAATTACTTTTCAAAATAAAATCCCATTTATTTTGAACAGTAAAACTGCATGTACTTACTTTTTTAATTTTCTTTTATTATACTTATTTTTATATATAAATAAACAAATTATCGAAAATTGCTGATGGTTGGAGAAATTGGAAAAGTGGCTAAAAATAAGAAAATAATACAAAGGAAAATAAAAAGACTGAACATCGTGCAAAAAAATAAATAGGATAATCAAAATATTTTGTGGTTATTTTCTCTATTTTAAGAAATTTATGTTTATATTTTTATGATTAATTTTATGTCTTTTGGCTCTCATTTTGTCTGATCGATAAATGCCCTAAATATTTAACGTTCGACTCATATAGGGATCGTTGATCAACTCACACCATGCAACGATACAAATGTACAAGCGAATGTATCAAAGAATACAGAAGTACATAGAAGCTCACAAGCCCCCTTTTTATCTACCCAGCATCATTTTTGTTACCACTGGGACCACCATTGGACGGTAATGTGTACTTTACGCGATGACGGTACAATACTATCAAAGAATACAATATTCTTTGATAGTATATATAGTATAATTATATTGTAAGAAAATTTAAAATAATTATATTTAATTTTTAGTGTCTAAATACGTGTGTGCCTTCAGAAATGCGTTTTTTATACATATATATTTTAAAAAGTAGAAGATAATCAAAACGAGTAGATGATAAATCCAACGATGATCACCTGTAACAAAAAGAAAACTATATTAATCATACAATCAAGTGATAGAATAGCCTGATATAAAAATCGTCCAATTTGTAGATGCACTTTTCAATTGAATTCTATATTTATTTTGATGAAATCTCTATTTCACGTTGCAATGAAATTCAATTTAAACGCGTGATTTTACATTTATATAAAATATATAAACAAATATATCTATTAATTATTATGAAATACTTGTAAGCTGAAATATATAGGAAAGAAAAATTGCAAATTTAAAAAAATACGATCACAAAGAAAAATTTTAAAGACGAAACAAGAAA